TATAGTATAGTATATATATATACATATAATATATATATATATATAATATTATATGGTTTGGCTCTACCAGACAACAGAGCAACCAGGTTTTGCATGGCACCTTTGGTGTCGGCAACAACGTCGTTCCAACCAGCACCACCATCTCACTCCGCAACGTGGTCCCGGTCAGCATACGCATCCTCCTCCTTATCTTTGTCCTCATTGCAATGCCTTTGTTAACTAGTATGCAGGTGCAGGGACCGACTCGGTCGACAATTGGCTCCAGAGCATCGAGAAGTATGCAAAAGGTGAGCTGAAGATTCGCAGCTTTCACGGCTTCTCCATGCGTGTTCCGGTTGCATTTCCACAAACCGACACGGCCGGTAACTAAATGTTCGATCCGTAGGTGCCAGTGATACAGGTTCGATTGCGAGGAGAAGCGCTTGGCCTTTGCAAATGCCACGGGAGATGCTCTAAACGTCCTGGAAGGAACCCTTCCGCGAACAATACAGCAAACACTGAAGCGCGTTTCCCACCCTCTACAGTCAACTTACGGCATTCCAAGCACAGCTGCATGGGCAGAGCACCGCGCCCCGCAGTCTTGCGCTGCTCTCCTGAGGCCGCACATACGGCACTCCTGTAGCTGCGCAGCCGGAGCAGCATCAAAGTTTCAAGCATCTGGGCCAAAATCTGAACCCTGAACCCGCAAGCCGCTTGTTTTATTGGGTCATTTGGTTGGTTGGTTGGTTGGTTGGTTGGTTGGTTGGTTGGTTGGTTGGTTGGTTGGTTGGTTGGTTGGTTGGTTGGTTGGTTGGTTCGGGTCCTTGCTCCCTGAGCATTCACGCGGAGTGGCATAGTGTCGATCACATCCTTGCGTGCCTCGTGTGCGTCGTGAGAGTCTGAACATGCAACACGAAGGATAAGGCCCAGAAGTTCTTCTACTTTCGCATTTGCACGCCTGTGTTTGTGGCAGTTGGGCAGGTGCGGTCTGCATGTTCTTCTCTATGAAGGGTTTAGGGCTCAGACCTCTTTAGATGTATACATACATCGACGCTAGGTTCATAATATGTTTGTGGTATGTGCGTGCATGGACAAAGGTATATAGCTGCCCAGTTTGGTTCGTTTTTGGAATTACGTCTGTGCATATCAACGCGTGAGTGCATGCACGGATGTACTCGAGCCTCAGTGCTGCCTGCTTGCCAACGGATGAGAGCAGCATATCTGATGCAGCTACATCCGGGGCGGCAGCCGACGACTTGTTTCTACACCAGGTCTTCATCCACTGCAACCAGCGGTGGATGAACCTCTAACGTGAAAACAAACGGCCATCTGCTGACAGGAGTGTAACTGCATGGGATATGCTGGTGGCTCCGGCTAAGAAGCTGGCTGCAGGATGCTGGCCATGGATGTGAAGACTTGGCAGCCCGTTAGGGAGGCAAGCCGACGATTGCGGAAGAATATCTGATCCAACGAGAGTGGTACTGTACTGCAGTGTCTCTCGAAGTAGGTGAACATCAACCTAAACCCTCATCCCCAAGGGAAAACCCTACCTCATCTTTGGCAATTTGCCTAAGCCCCAAAGCTCTCCGAGCCCCTTCCATTCCCCGAGACCTCCTCGGCGAATGTCCAACATCAACGACATTGAAATCATCACTGCCGACGACTCCAAGGCTCTTTGCTTGTCAGCTTGCTTTGTTTTGGTTAAGAGATATTAATATGAGATGCCCGGAATACTCTCGGAGTTTGATTCTCGACTTTGACTTTGGGCGTTGGAGGCGTGAGATCTGGAAACCTCAGGGCTTTGAGGGTAGAGCTCAGCAGCTGGAGGACGAAGGCACCAGCTTAGGACGACTGAGACAAAATCGCTAAACCCTAAACCCTAAACCTTATAAACCCTAATAGGGCGCCCATGAGTTCACATCCCTTTTTCACGATATTCTCCGCTTGAAGTTCGAAAGCACAGCCGCCAAAACTCTCCAAGCTCCAAACCCCCCTAAACCTGCTATAGCCACCCTTCAGCACAAGCCGACCCGAAGAAACCCCTAAACCCCTAACCCCGACACCCCTGAACCCCTAAACCCCTAAACCCCAACCCTAAACCCCTAAACCCAAGAGGCCACGCGAAGCACCATCATCGTCTACCAGGGCTTGGAGCATCGAAGCGCTGGAGGGGGAGCTCCCCAGCCTCCGGTCCCCTGTCCCAAATTCCAACTTGAGAGTTTTAGGGGTTGGGATTTCGTGCATGGCAGTCCCTGCTCCAACGAAGAGTTTCGGCTTCACAAGCCCGGATGCAAAAGGGTTGTTCATGCGGGGGCTTGGCTTAACAAGCTCGTCTATGAAAAACTCGCTACGTTGTACAGCAGATTTGAATTCACAACCGAACCTGGTGTGCAAAACCTCGCGTGCCCGAAGGATGTGCGAAAGCACCGTGGTAGAGTGTGCGAAAGGGCTTAAGCAGCTCTATTTGTGGATGTTGCCTTGGTCATTTTTGCAATAAGGGCATGTTTCGAACAGCTTGTATGCAGCATTGGACGTTTGCGGGATTTGTGGATCCGGAACGATGGTTTCATTGTTGAAAGCGGTTTAGCCTGGCCAATAATTAAACTGCTCGGAAGGTCCATCATGACATTGGTTTAGGGTTTAGTGTTTAGGGTCATTATCCATTCTTGCAAATTTTGGCTAGATGAGTGCCGGATGGCTTAATATAAGGATATTTCCCCATCATGCTGCATGGAGTCTTGTTGATTTTGTGGCACTTTCCATGTACCCAGCGTAGGCGTCGAAGGAATGCGAATGCTTTGCCGCAGGGAAGATTCTAGAAGATGCAACTGTTCAACTTAGCGTTCTTCTGGTTGGCTCT